TGATCTCAAATAATTCAGTTTGGTAGAGCAACTGATAAAATATAATTCTAATATATTGTGCTAAATTCAATAATAAAAGACTGGTCAAAGGTACTTAGACAGCTCACAGAAAATGTGTTTTCAGCAGAGACATGGACTGGTTCTTCAAAGATAAGTAGTTCTTCAGATGGAACTAAAAACTGAAATAGTTTCCTTGTTATTTTTCATGTATATGTGATGGAGCTTTGTTGTATCAGGTTTTGATTTATTACACTGGGGCTGGCAAGGTCTTGGTCCCCTGACATGGGTTATCTGAAGTGCAGAGGCATCTTCAGATATCTTTCTTTTCCCCACCATGACCAATTCATTAGGAAATCCTATATATTATAAACCATTTTTCTTCTCTTTAAAAATATTTAAATAACAACTGTAGTTATGCAAAATGTATAACATGATTTGATATGTGCATACATTATGCACTAAATACCTTAGTTGAATTAATTAGTATTTCCATCAACACTCATAAACTTTCATAGTTACAGTGTGTGTGTGTGTCCATCCATGTGTCAATGAATCTATGTGTAGGGGACTGAGGACACTTAAAATCAGCTCTCATCAAAACTTGTAGACAATACAATATTATCTGTGGTTACCATGTTAAACACGAGCACTGTATCTTCATTTCTTTCATATATTCATTTTACAACTGAAAGTGTTCCCTTTAACCAACATCTCCCCATATCCCTGATATCCCAGCTCCAGGAAACCACTGTTCTAAACTCTACATCTATGCAACACTGTAAGGTTTCACAGATAATTAAGATCATACAGTACTGGCCGTTTGTTGTCTCGCTTATTTCACTTAACATAATGTCCTCTGCAATCGTCTCTTATCACAAATGGTAGGATGTCCTCCTTTCCTATGGCTGAATAATATTTCATTACATTTATACCACATTTTCCTCATCGGTTCATCATGAGTGGATACTTAGGTTGTCTTTATTTCTTTGTTATTATGCATAATGCTGCAACAAACATTAGTTCTACTTTTTCTTGAATCTGTTTATTTCTCAACATCTGACTAAATCTATCTTACACGATCAACAGTCTCCTAGCCAGTTTTCTTATATCTACTGCTGCTCTCCTCCAATATAATCTTCAAATTTTAGCTATACTGAAAATTTTAAGATAATCATGGCCCATTTAAATAATCCAGCCAAAAGCCATTATGTGGAGCTGCTGCAGTATCAGAGGCCAACCAAGGCGAGTAGAGTGCTGAGGAAGGAGAGAAGACAGTATCACTGTGTGCTGGAGCCATCTCAGATGAGGATCCCTGTGAGAGGACATCCTGGCACAGGCAGGAACCTGTGTGGAGTGAGCATAAGGTGTAGAATCCAAGAGTGATATGGAGGACAAATGCCCAGGGGAGAGACAGCACGAGCAAGGGGAGAGGAGTAACAGACTGCAGATCTGAACAAATGAGCCTGTCAAGGGTAATGAGAACCTGGGTTTTCATGGTCAGAGAAAGATGCTATGTGTATGGAAAGGAAGAAATGTAGAATTAATAAATTCCAAGACTTGTGGCATCACATCACAGTTGGAGTACTGCCATAAACTCATAGTATTATAGGCAGTTAAGTTAGATCAAAATTAATTTATAGTCAGAAAGGGGCTGGGCTCTCAAGGAAGCCAGTGAAAGGTGAAGACATCAGAATTGTGGCTGGAGGCACATCTGAAGACAAGGCCGTGAGATTAAAGTCACAACGGCAAGACTTGCATACTTCCCTAAAGGATGAATAGGAATTTGAAATTATACTGTAATTGGTACAACCCAGGGAATTAAGTTCACCTGGGTGGGTGACTGGAACACCTTCGTCCATCCTTCCCCAGAAGTTCCTATTTTAGAAGTCATAGATAAACCAGTGATGTCAGCTATATGCCCTACTTCCCTGCTGGAGCAATATCAGCTGAAGGGCTATACTTGTTATCTTATTAGTTGATAATAGCTAGATCCACATTTTACCTCATGATTTTGCTCTATAAAACATTCTCGGAGAAACGACCTCCATGACAATCCACTTTCAGGACCCCTCCTGTGCCTCGGGAGCTATTCCTATTCCCCAGTAAACCTTTTCTATTCTTAACCTCCTTTGTCTGGAATTCATTGTTTGATGTCAGGGGACACGAACTCGGCATACCTGACAACTAGCAGGTTGGGAGGTGTATTTCTCCAATATCAGTAGCTTTATATATGTAGTGAGCTTTTGTGTCTATACATGAATATACATCCCCTATTTTTGTCTATCCAAAAGCAACAGGACCCCGGTAGTATGAACCATCACCAACGCACAGATCTTGCTGCTGAATTTTTCTTTTTTTGGTAAGACCTCTTCTAAACTTTTTCCCCCATGAGTACATCATTTCACATTATTCATTCTCGCAACGTGAAGTATTTTCCCTTCATAGTTACAGATGTTTGAATATTTGACTGTGTCCTCTATTATATTGTTTCTTCAGGTCAGAGCTCACCACAAGACCCACGTCAGATCTCTCGGGGAACAGGAAACAGTTTTGATTAACTGCTTGCCACGTTTTGCCTCTCTAATATTCTCCTAACTGCTCTCCCTTTTGCAGTCGGGTCCCATCTTCTCTCCAGTAGTTGCCGCCATACAGTCTCAGTCCCATAGAAGCTGGAGGAAGCTTCCTCATCATCCAAAAGATAGTCTGTGTCTTTATTATGGCACAAAAAAACTGTAGTCTGGCCCCTAATTCTCCAGTTGTCTGCTTGGATTTTGAGTTGATAAGAATTTTGTTGGTTTAGAGTATGGCATGATTAACATCTTACTCTCCGGAGGCAGGTTGCTTAGGTATGAATCTCAGTTCTAATACATACTACCTCAATTTTTTCAACCGTGAAATGGGTATAACATCCATCGTCTTACATTATTTGGAGGACTGAGTTAATACGTGTGTGCTTAGATTTGTTCAAATGGCACATCAGTCTGCTTCTAGCATCTCTGCCTTTGTTTTCATTCTACTTCATCTTTACCAAAATAGTTTAGCCATAGATCCTATATAGTTATAAAATTTAATAATCAATGCAACTTACAAACTATGACTTATTTCTTGTCAGGGTTGATATAAGCTGGTACCATCTTCATCGTGACATTTTTCACCTTTGACGGTTGTAGTGTAAGATCTAAGTCTCACTTTTACTCCTGGAGCGTGAACAGCCAAGAGGCTTCCACGATGCTGGGCTCAGAAGCTCAGCGAGGCTCCAGGAGCTTGTCGGACAGCGAGAGTCACCCAGGAAGGAACACACCAGGCAAGTTGGCAAATAGACCTTTATTAGTCTGGCCAGACGGCACTCCCCAAGCCAAGTAGCTCAGAGAGGCGGCTAGCTCAGAAACAGGCCATTTTATATAGGGCTGGGGGGGGGTTACACTTAAAACTTACAGGAAGAGGACAAAGGCAAAGAATCAGCTGATCTGAGCTAGTGGTCATCAAGCATATACTTGACCGTCACGTACTAATGATCAGCAGATCGATTATCCATTATTCCATTTACAACTTAGATTATAATGTTCAGAACATTCAACTACAGGCAAGTAAGGAGTGGCGTGACTTGTGTTGGGTCTCTGTGTTCACTAGTTTCCATTTAGTTTCCCAGCTACTTCAAAGCAGTTACCTAACAATTCACATTTAATCATTAGTTATCCTATAAGGGATGGGAGGAGCGACAGTCTCTAGGTCGTTTGCTGGTCAACATGGAGTCGCTCTGGTTCAGTCAGGCTCTTACAGTAGTTACTTTAATTATTGCACTGCTGTGGGTCAAAACTGGTTTGCCATTTGTTTCTGTACCACTCAGGAGATGTATGGATAATGTCCCAATTATCTAGTTTGGATGACCCGAGAGTCAGGAAATAACACTGTAGAACGCTCAAATGTTTGTTGACATGCTCACCCAAAATTGGGAATATTTTTATTTGTTGCAAATATCCCACTGCCTATGCAGTCCTCTAGGCTGACAATGCAATCAGTGTAGGTTCAGATGAACTTCCTTTCTCTGCCAAATTTCTCCTTTGGCAGGCAAACACCCATCGACCACACCAGCACTCCACATCCTGTCTCCAGTGCAGAAGCCGCCCTCCGTTCCCCGTCACCCTGGCAACGGAAGCAGGAAGGGGTGGGCCTCGCGGTGCTTTCTTCCGCGGGCAGCCAGCGCCAGCCACGTTTACTAAGGCGTGTGGTCTGCGTGTCCCGTCGCGTCGCTCGGATCCGGGCGGACCCGGACTTGGAGCCGGATCCCGCACTGACGGCCACGTCAACCTGACCCCGCGC